ATGCCCTTCACCAACAACAAATCTTTGAACGACAGTGACAAGTTTAACCTTCCCACTGAAATGCCCTTCACCGACACCACCATGAACATCACCAGTACCACCAATGACATGAACATCACCAACCCCAACAGCACCACCACACTCGCAACAACAAAGCAGAAAGGTGAGAGAGATTATCTGAATTGTTATAACGTGAATGTTCGGTCTGAAATGTTGGACGTCAAAGAAAATCTATTCATGACCACGCCCTCCTTTGATTGTGCCTGTTTCTTTTCTTGTGTCATATCACGCTTCTGTCAATCAGGTGGTAAAACTACTGAAGGTGGCAAAACCTTCATCACATCCAAAACTACATCCAAAACTACATCTGCTCCTAACAAAAGAAAAAATAATGGTGAGTTGACAGTGATGATGAATAAAGCAAACTCTACATCTGTGTTCCCTGATTCGCTTGACATGTTGACATTTACTACATCATGTACTCGATGAACGAACACAGTAAAACGGATAGTTAGCCTGTTTCTAAAAAGATATTTAACCGTGAGCTAAAAAAGGAGACCTGCTTTTTTCCGCTTGTTGTGTCAATATAAAATCAATAATAATTGATTTTAAAAACAATTTTATCATAAATGACTGTGTAACGTTAAAGACGCTGCTTGCATTGACAACCCCAGAGAAATATATCAACCTACACACAGTTCTCAGCTCTGTAGAGCATTTAGCATCTTTTATAGCATCTTTGAACCATTTGTCTTCCAGCCTTGTTAGGTAGCTGCTTTTATAATAATCGTACACAACCTGCGTTTAGTTATATGTCACAATTTTGTATTCAGCTCATTCTGCTGCCCCGAAGTGGCCATAAAAAATGGCTTTGCAGCTTTAAGGGTTCAGTGTGCAGAATTTTAGTGATATCTAGAGGTGAGGTTTCATGTTGCAGCTAAACACCCCTCACCTCACCCACTCCTTTCAAACATGACAGAGACCTTGTGGAAAACTTCAGTTGTCATAAAAACTCAAAAGGTGTGTAGTTTGTCGAGTTAGATGACTGTGTAAGAACATGGCGGCCTCCATAGAGAGGACCCGCTCCTGATGTAAATATAAAGTATTTAAATATAAAGGGTCCATTCTTGGGTAATGAAAACAACAATTTATACAATTTAGATGAAATAAACTTGTGAAAACACCACAAGGATTATTTTATATTTAATTTCTGCCAAAAGATCCCTTTCACCTACATTTTACACACTAAACCTTTAAACCAGCCCATTGGTAATGGACTGAGGCAGTCCTCTTGTATGGTTATATTTAAAAAGTGAATGAAACATTTCTGTATTTCTAACAGACTCTTCTCCTGGGGGATACGACACGGGTGAGTTATATTTAAATCTGGCCCAGTCGCCCAGTACATCTTAAATTCTAATGTAGTTTTGAGCCTTCATCTTCATCTGTCACCCCTTCAGGTATGTACGTCATTATTTCGATCATCATCGTGGCTGTTGGATTAGGAGTTGTTTGCTACGTGGTGCGGAATAGAGGAAGAGTAAGTATGGAGCGTTGGCTGCTAACCTCTACCACAAGATGGGAATAGTTATAGTTTGTTTTTAATAGTAACAGCTATCAGTTAGCTTAGCTTAGAAGAAAGACTGGAAGCAGTCAAAATTTTATCAAAATGAAACTACTACAAGTTATTTTTTGTAATTACATTTTCAACTTAACTTACATTGCTGATTAAACTAGGATTCTTTTGTTAATACTTCTTTTTTGGATTCATTGACGAAGATATGATATGTTGCCTAGTGAACTTTAAAGGAGCTGGTAGGGAGATTTACTTGGGTTTGTACAGAAGTAGTTTGGACCGGTCTAGTTTTAATGTTTAATGTTAATTTGCTGTTGGCTGCAGCTGTATATTATGTACACTTATTTGAAAGTGAGATGGAGCAAATGTGGAATCAAACATTGTCCTCCTGATGTTTGTGTGTGTTCCTACAGCGCCAGTCTGTCGACTTCATGTCCAGACACGATGAAGCCAACGTCCCTCTCAGCATTATGGACCATGAGCCTGTTGACACCATCTCTCAGAATGGTCAGTCCAACACACGCACTTATATCAACAGAAATATTACTGAAAATATCTGTCCTTGTTTTGTTGTTGCAGAGAAACGAACCCTGATTTCTGAACACTTTTCAGGTCTGCAAACTTTTGAAACTACAGCGAAAGAGCCCCAAGAACCAGAGACAAAACCTGAGGGACAATTGGATCAGAAACGTGACAGCAAATCTGTGGCCGGTCTGTATGATTTATTGTGATATATAATATCAGAGTAACAGGCACAAGGCCACTTGTTTCAGGTCTGTCTGTAAAAGTGTCACATGAACTAGTTGCTTGCTACTTTCTTTCCTCTTTCTTAAGGTCAGTTAATTTGAGTAAACGGAAGTACAATATGTACGTGACACTATTTTAAAACAGGCTGTGAGGGCGTCAAGATTCCTATTTGGACATGAACAAAAAAAGTATTTTTCTTCTCTATACGTATTGATTTAACAACATAATACTAATAAGGAATATGAAATATTTTTTTTCCTTTAGCAGATATTATTTTAAATAACTTTTAAAAATAAAACCACTGTGTGTTTCACACCAGTTTGGTTGGTGTTACTTTTATAGGAAGTAAATTTGACATTATGCAAGTGACCTGACTCACACAGAACTTTAATTAAACGCTTGTATAAAGCTGAGATCAGTTAAGAAGCTCTACGGAAAATTTCAAAATGTTAAGCTGTGAAATGACAGTTTCCTTAGTTTGAAGGGAGAGAAAAAAATAAATGTGGCCTGCAGTACTTCAGTCAACCACTTGATGGAAATGGAAGCCAAGTTAAGACATTACAAGCCAATGCCAAATTGCAATAATGAGTTATTCTGTATGAATCCAGTTTATATAACATTTGATATAGTTGGTAGCAAGTCAGAAATTACATCCTTAGTGTTAAGTATTTGTGAATGTGAAGATTGATTATTTTGTGCATTGTATATTTTATGCTACTTTATTTGGGGCCTTACAGTAAAATGCATCCAACCCAAAAAACATATATTTGCTTCTGCTCTTCTTGTTTTGACATTATTATCATTTTTCTGAGAAAAGTGTTTCTGTTTCCTCGGAGGTGTCTCCCACATTGAAAGGTAGGAGGTGCAGTCATGTCTGGGCCTGCCTCTCTGCCTTCAGCCACACTTTGTTAAAATGGACAGAGCTGATGGCCACTTTGAAAAGAGCATCTATCTTTCTAATGGTTCTCTTCCTCTCATGGGAAAGAATTAATGAAACTTTTGCAGCATTTAGAGCAGGTGGAGAATCAGAATTCAAACCCTGCACTTGGATTTGCTGATGTTTTGAATGCAGAAAGATTTATCTGATGACAACTGCTTGTCCATCGCTCACAGACTCACTTGTTTTTTAACTCAAGTGTTTCACTCACTTGTGGAGACACTGAAGAAACCAGCCAGACACCTCAAAAACTACAAATTCTGCCGAAAGCTTTTTAGCACCTACTTGAAATGGAGAGGAAAACAGAAAATAACCAGAACTCTGCTGAACACACTGCCCCACCCATGACCTCATGGAAACACTCTACTCGGTCTTGGCCCAGTGATGAGAAGCATTAAGAAGCGATATAAAGATAAGCATTTAAAGAAGCGTTTCCAGAAACTACACAAACTGAAGTAACTTAAAGCAACGCTGGGTAACTGGAGAATTAGTGTATTAGTGCCCAGAAAGCTTGTAAATTGATGTCTGCAATAAATGAAGTGATAAAAGAGAGAAAACTTACTCAGGAATCAGATTTGTCACATCCTGTGAGTTCAGTGCAAGTAAATAATTACCTTATTTTAATATTGTGAGTAAACCTCTTTTATGACGAAATGTTGTAGATTCTTATCATGGTGTGATGCACATGATGAGTTCAGCCGAAAAACCTGGCTTACCTTTATTTATAAAAATGATAAATGGTCTCTATTAATATAGAATTTTTCTGGACCATCCAAACCAATTCACACACACATTCATACAGTGCATGTGTGAGCAGCCCTTACGCTACATCACTCACACAATACCAGCACAGCCATCAGTGCCAGCAGGGTGAGGTGGACATCCCGCTCTGTCATGACCGCCCAAAGAGTAAGAGCAAAACAGAAAGAAAGAAATCGTAGCAGCATTGCATTGAAATTAAACAACCTTTCCATTCTGTCATCATCGGTGCACCAGACCATTTCTAGTTTTTGAACAGACATTTCATGTAATACAGATATTATTAACTCATCATAATAATTGAATTCACACAAAAAGGAAGTTCTCAAATCTACCATGTTTCAACACAATATCTTTAAACCATCAAATGTAGCATGTGAAGTTATTTCTGTAAATTTTTTGGAATTAAGCTTCCTCAAAAACAGAAGAGATTTGGAAGAGAAGCAGAAGTGTTTCAAGGAATCCAGTCGATGAGTCATGGGGAGCTGATCATAGAAGTTAAGGTGGCTCGAAAAAAAAATTGACGTTGCTGTGGAGGAACATAGCCGGCCGTCCTCGGAGGCCCACTCAGCTCGTGGCCCCAAGTGGGTTTTACCTATATCCTGTTGCTACACCCCTGGTTATAATAGGTTCAGTCCACAATCGAAGAAAACTGAACAAAGAATACAACTATTAAGAGGCACATCCAGATATTTCCATTTCCAGTCCAAGTGTATGACATGAGAAAGCTGACAATCGGGGCAACAGTCCACCTGTAACAGAGCGTTAGTCAGCCGCCATAAAGCAGACAGACCTGATGATTTTCTGCAGGTTGGAATGTCGCCTGAGGAGCCATCTTAGTGGTAGAATTATGTCTCGGGCAGCGGTCCCCTTCCTCTCCCCTCCATCTCCGCTTTCCCTCCACCTAACCCCAGGTCAGATAATGATGGGGCCGCCCTACTTTCCCACAGCCTCCAACAGCTGCATGGTTGTAGCTCATTAGCAACTGGTCAGTAATCAGCCGCCTCATTACCAACATGGTGCCCCCCCCCCTCAAATGCCTTTGCCCAAGAGAAATTCCCCCCCCCCCCGACTGTCAGAGAGAGCAAAACCTCTTCAGGCTACATGAGTGAAAATACTGTTATTATGTGGCAGCTAAACACAGAATACACTGACTCTAAACAGGCAAACTGCAGAGTCACAGGAGGCTGCAATGACAGAGAGAAGTCTCAGCAACGTTTCACAATTGATTTATTTGGACAGTTAAACCATGAAACATGCAATACGTGACTGTTATGTTTTCTCAATATATGTCAATATGACTCAGCCTTTGTGTTAATCCAATTCATCCACATGTTGCTTTCATTTACATTTATTATGCTAAACTGATACAGACGCCTCATGAAGCACTGACTGAAATCTATGTGGTTTGCTCTTTTGTTTGTCCTCCACAGCTGAGGCTGATAAATCTGTTGTCGATCCCAGCGCTGAGTCTGCAGCTGCGGCTCCTTCTCCACACGACTCTGAGGACAAACCCAAAGAGGACGTGGCCAAGCCCAGTCCGACTCCTGCACCTGTGCAGCCGAGCTTGGAGGAGAAAACCGATGATGAAGGCGCCGACTCCAACAAGACCTCAGTGGAGTCGCTGAAGGAGACAAATGAGAACAACAGCAACAATGCCGTCTTCAGACAGAAGACAGGTTGGTTATTTGAGTGATTGACCCCCCCTAATAGAAATGTAAGACAACATTGCAAACCTTTTGCTGACAGTTTACAGCACACACAGTGATTAGTGTCGACTGTACATTGTGTTTAATGCAGTGCAGCCCTGCTCTGGGCTTATTTTGACAGAATTGTGAGAATAACATGTTCATGTCTAAGTTCCAGTTGACTGCTACGTGTCAATTCTGCTCATTTACAACCTACCGGGTGACAAAAAAGAGAACTTGCAACTTACTTTCTTGTGCAACTTGAAAAGATTGGTTCAGTTTTTTTCTTTAAGTACATAATATATAGCTGACATACCCATGTGTACATTAAAATGTATGCGTCGCACTGTACACTACAATTACTTAAAGGTCAGACACGATACAAAATGTGACACTTTATGAATCCCTTAAGGGGGAATCTGAATGTCACCTTCTCTGTCCTATATGTAGGTGACATTCAGCTCCTATCCTATTAATAGTGGTGCTATGTATTACAATTTTACAGTGCTACCTAAGAAGGGAGGCAGAAATTTTCTTTTATTGTAATGACTTTAAATTAAATTAAAAATGAATTTGATATTCCATCTGAATCATGAAGTATTGTCACTTTCCACTGATTATTTGGTGTTTTTTTCTTAGAAAACTTTTCTAAAACTATTGGTTTTCAAGTTTAACATCATAATTCGCTTCTTTGTCTTTTGTGCAGATCTGGATTCGAGCATTTTCTGGGCCGTTCCACTCGACTCTCCCGTGTGACATCATTGCCTCGCTGTCCTCAATGCCATTACTCACAATCTTGGTAAGATCAGAGTGTATAGATAAGTTCCTCTGGTCCAGCTCAGCCAGCTCATGTGTTAGTAGAGAAAAAACCTCCAGCCCAAATACTCACATCCATACATCACTGGATGCAGGAGAATATAATCACTATGTCCATCATAATAACTTTTCTGGAGCCAGAAACCATTTAGATTTTTTTGTCATCAATATGTTATCCATTTCCTCTTGTTACATAACAATTACGTTAATCAGGTAAATGGTGCCTTTTTTATATTTTGGATTTGCTTGTTTGTTTGTTAATAGATGCCATAATCATTTATTCTAAAATTATCTTGTCCCCAGAATTGTGAATCACACTGAAAACCTATTTTCCAGCAGTTTATAAAACACAATGTGGAAGCTGCATCCACTATAGAACCTAAAGGTATATAACATAAAACTGTCTGCCGATCATGTTTATTCAAAATATACTTACTTGGTTTTTCCGGTGCTATCAACTGCATCAGACAGTTTCCGTCATCATTATCACGTGAACAATGATCCACACTTTTGTGACAGGGGAAGACAAGTGAGCGTACTCAACCCACTCATGCAGACAGGTTAAAAAAGCTAGAACTCAAGTGGACCTTAAGTTCAGACATGGAGATGAATCTTCATCCTCGTTTATAGGTTCATATGCTCAAAATAATTATGAAAAAGCAGTTGCTCTTTAATTTTAATGTTGCAAAACCACTTCTTTTCTATCAAAACCACTGTATTTCTGCTCACTAAACCAGACTTGGCTTCCTTCCTCAATCCCCCACTCATAGATGAGATTCTTCTCACACGAGTAGGAACATGAGGCCCTCTCAGTCTTATCATCATGTGCTTCAGGATGTAAGGCCCACATCTGCACCTGTGCCCTCCTCTCTCTTCCCATCCGCTCACAAACACCCAGGGTCGAAGCCCGAGGCCTCGAGGAATTCACACTGCTCTTAACAGCTGATGATAAGCTCACATCTTAGACGCTAACCGCTCAGAAGCTCAGTCTTAGCAGTCACGGATCATCTCCGTTCTCACAAAAGCACAAGCCTCAGAAATCTCAAGCATCTCGATTCACGCAGAGGTCAGCTCTAGTTCTCTGACGCATCTCTAAATACTGTACCTGCTCACATAGTGAGAGGAAAAGTGCAAATAAAAATGAAAACTGTTAAGAGAACGGTGAAATCTCAGCGATATAATGGGATATGTGATCTTCAACACCCAAACCTGTCACTGAAATATGTGTCAAAACAGACTTTTTTTCCCAGCTGACATTTTGACTTGTCAATGAAAAGAAAAATGGCAGTTCACTGACTGTTAGCTATGTGTAATCTAGTTGTGAATGGGCTTTAACCATTGAATCCAAAACTCTTTTGATATCTCAACTCTGAGCTCTGAATTCCAACCTGCTTTTCCTGGCGGTCCAGAAAAATCCACATCACTTGAGGACTTAAACCAGGTAAACGTCATAATGTGTTTACTTTAAACCACCATCTCACCTTCACCTTAAAGACGAACAGGTTGACCTAATTTGTCAGTGTCTAACCTCTTTCAGCAAAAGCTCTCTGTGACCTCATAAGGGGCTCGGTTTCAAAACAAACTCCTTTAAACTGTTTGGGAAACAATCAGCTCGTCCACTTGCTCCCATTTGTTTGGTGCACGATTCCCAATATGCTGATGGGGCGTTAAAAAGAATGGCCTTCTCAAAACTCCACTGACAGATGAACTATCTTTCAGAACAGTTATTTATATTCCTTTTCTTTTTATCGACTGATATATCAGACCTTAAAAGATGTAATACATAACAATTCTTAATTAAAACCTCAAAAAATGACTAGACCTATGTTTTACATTTTGTTGACTTTTGTTGACTTGAATGTTCTATCCAGAGAAATCCTTTTTTCACATCCGCTTTAACTGTGGCTTTGTCCATCTCTGCTATAACCTGTGGGGAAAACAAGGGAAACACACACTGCCATTCACTTGTTTTTAACTCCTCTGTTTGTATTTGTCCCTTGTAACGTATCATTCAGTGCTTTTTTACTGCATAATGTGGATAAGACTTTAAGACATTATCTCATCGATGATCATGATCTGCACCTTAGATGTATCAGGTAGATTTTCATCGGCAGTGGGGTTGAAGACCACAACTCCCATGATCCAACGCAGCTTCACGACATCCTCAAACTCTGTCTTTTGTGATTGACAGAACCCTTGCGAGTTCAACATTGAAAGCAAATCTCTAGAGCACTAAGTTTTACTTCAACTCAGTCAACCTTAAAACCTCTGCAAAAGTAACTGTTTCAGAAGTAAGAAAAAACAATTAAACTGACTAAACCAAGTGGAACATTTCCGCCATCGTCAGCTTCGAAACTGCATGTTCAGCACATCCTGCCGGTGTAGCCCTTTGATGACGCAAGTCTAATTGCTATGTTCACTGCTCTGCAATTGTGCAAGTTTTAATTTTCAATTTTCTTTGACCAAAACTTGATGGTTTGTGGTAGGAAGTGCTGGGAGGAAGGGGCAGAACCATCCTCCGCCATGCAGCTGTTTTCTTCTTGTAGTGTGAAGGGAGTGTCAGTCTGCATCTTTCCGACAGTCCCTCCCCTCCTGTAAAGCTGCCCAGGTGTAATGCTCTACCTGCCAGTCTCAACCACATCAAAACTCACGAGCAGGAAGCCCCACCTCACTGTTATTACTGAGATAAAGATCATGCATTCACTGCATACACCATTGTCATCCTGCCCACCATAAATCTGTGTTTACAGCTGCAGTGATGCCCAAGAAAATGACCTTTCCCATTAGAGGAGAGAAAGAAAGTGGCAAAAGCTCATATTTTATGCTTTTTAAATGACCCTCTTCAGCCTCAGATCCTTGACCCAGCACCTTTTTGTGACCTGCCTCTGAACCCGCAGCAGAAGCAGCCGCAGCTCCTTCCAATAATGAAGACCTCGCAAATAAAACGAGCTGCGTCTGGCTGACTACAAGCCTCGTTTGTCTCACAGTTAAATTTCAGTCTGTAACTCTCTTTCTCGTCCCTCCTCCTCGCTGTGAAATATTTGTCCCAGGCGGTGCACAGACATTTTCCTCCATCAAACATGAAAGCTGAGCTCTGACTGGAAAATAACACTGTGAAGTCCCAGGTCTAATTATGCTGGTTTAGTTTATGACCTGTCACTTCATATCAATTATCCAGCAGTGCAGTATTTGCAAACAGCTCCTCGACCTCAGTTTCCAGCTCGTCATCACTTCCAGACCCAGGTGGTAAAAGTTTTCTTTCCTCTGCAGTTTTCCTGAAGTGCACAGAATAGTTTATCACAGTCTGAAAGGATTTATTTGTCTATTAATGCATTATCTTTTACAAGAAGTTTAAAATTCTTTTCCATACTATATGGACCAAAAAATCTCTTTACAACCAATCTACATCAATGGGGCTTCAATGCAACTCTGTGTATTTCAGGTCCAGGAAGGATGATGA